TCATAACGTTGCTGCTTGCATTGTACTTCCTCCCTCACACCACTTTTATCATACTTATTCCGATATAACATCCTTGGTCCACCTACTCAATATGTGACATGATGGAATGCTAAACACACATAAACCTTGAAGTGTAGCCATTGTATGTCTACAAAGAAACCCATTATACTCAAACAAATGGCATAAGCAAAAAATTTCTTCTCTTGATGCATCCCACTTTACAATGAAATCTTCTTTTGTTCTCAAAATCAAATACTTTAAAAGTTGTAATTTGCCCATCTCCACCATCTTTTGAAGAATATCACCCTAATATTTCTAAAATCGCAACTTAAAACTTCTTGAAGATTTCATGAGTATATATCACTGACATTTACTTCTCAAAAGGGGAAGATGTCTTCGAACTAGATTGCTTTTGCCATAAATTAAAATCAGCTAGTTTTTTTTTTTTTTTTTGTCTCTTTTTGATCTTGGATAACTACCTTGAATTGCTCAACAAACTCTTTCAAGTAGTTCTATTGATGCCATTTTCCTTAATGTACAAGTAATCCCAAGGATCAATATCTCAGATAGCTTTGACTTCGGCATCATTGCAAACAAAGACATTTGTCACGTTTGATTACATCAACTTTAAAGATTTCTCTTGGATGGGTCAATTTTTTACCCGAATAAATCAGGGTATTCCATTTTCTATCTCCAATATAAGTATCACGTTTTGAAAATTTTGTAAATTTCTAGAAATGCAAATAATGAAATTAGTAAAGAAAAACATATATATATATATATATATATGTAAATATATTTTTTTTTTAACACGGGAATTTTGGGTTGGAGATTTGTTACATCACGGATTTTAACAGCTCATCACATTAGGCCCAAGAAAACTCACCTCATCACTGAGGAACTTGGGCGCACTAACAACTGGCCCAAGAGGCCGAAGTGCAAAAGAAAGAGGAGCAAAATCAATTTAATTAGACCCGGCCGGAACTGAAGCCCAAGTCATGATAAGTGAAAAAAAAAACACACACACACACCTGATATTTGCATGATACAGGAGATTTTCATTATTTTGTAATCAATATAGGAGATTTACCTGTATAGTTTTTAAAATATTTTGAATTAGGTGATTAATTGTAACAAATATTGGTTTGTCTCTTTTTTATTTGTTTGTTTTGGGATATAGGACTATTTATCTTTAAAGTAAGGAATTTATAAAGAATTTATATATAAAAATAAACTGCATAGTAAAAATACAGTACAAGCCATAAATTTGTCAAATTACTTTACGAAGCATCTCTTCAGTTTCTATACTAATTTATTAAAGGTACTTTAGTAATTTTAATATCTAAATTGCATGTTAAACCAGTTCTTGTTTACATATATGATCTCCTTAAAGGAACTAAGCCATGCTCAATTCTTATCAAAGTTCAAAGATAATTAAGAAATACAAATTTCTAATAAATTAACTGATAGAATAGGCCTAAATCTGCATTTCAACCTAAGAGACCAGTAAAAAACTAAAACCCAAAAATTTTTCAACTCCTAATTAAAGACTCATAGCTGGGACCCTGGACCATAGTAAGAAAGATGTTGAAGGACCAAAACTAGCTAACGCCAAACAACAAACATGACAAGGGTACATAAAGAGACTATTTTTATTCAGAAAACCAAACCAAACCGTAGACTTGGGCCACAACATCAAAGGAAAATACATAACCGGTCTTTTTGTATCTTCAGCTAATTAAAGCTGAAGTATAATCTGGATAAGAGTGTCCACTGCTTCTGAGTCAAGAAGCATGTCATCAAATTGTTGCTGGCGTGATGCCTTCATCAGGTCAAGCTCGAGCCTTAAATCTTCCATTGAAGCAACCATTTGTGCCATTTCCTCTCTAGCATGGCTCATCTCCGCCCTGGTAGTAGGAGCTTTGGCTTTCATCCTCCGTAGAGTCTTCTTTGAACAAAATAGATGAAACTATACATATCAATAGGTAATTCATAATGAAATAAGATAGGATTTGTTGAGAAAATAGATGCAGCTGTATATATATGTACCTTGAGCTTGCGTCTTAATCTCCTATCACGGGTTCCAGCCATTGTAACTTCTTGTGTCTCTGTATAATACCATATATATGGGGTGAGATGGATGCTGCTGATATATATATATATATATATATATATATATATATTATCACGGAATGGAAAATGAATTCAAGAATTAAACTCGATACTTGCCTGACTGAATTTACTATCGCTTGACTTATTTCAGTGCTTCTACTATTTTGCGCAAACCCCTCTCTGAAATTAATTCTACCAAAATTTATACACTCAAAAGGGCTTTGTGCAAGTTAATCATTCAAAATTGGCTTAATT